ATTCTCATAGGTTACGTGTGGTAGAAAACTGTGTTTGTAGATCCATTGGAGGGAGACTTGTTGTCAACCCAATAAGTATAGAATGAGTTGGAAATGAGAGCTAACTACTTGGTAATTCTAACATAAATGGAGGTTGGTGATAAGAGTTATATTAGTTATGTATCTGTTGTGAGGAAGTTTTTGGATGTATTATCTGAGCAAGTGTCTAGGCTACCTCTTAAAAGATAAGCAAAATATTCTATTAACATGGTACAGTGAACCACTGATGAGGATTGATGATATAGTGAACCAGTTATGTGGAGTAGCGATATTATCTAAGATATACTTAAGGTCAGGATACAATTATATCTTAGTGAAGGATGAAGATGTTTAGAAGACAACTTATGGATCCCATTATAGCCACTATGAGTTAGGGTGTTACTATTTGGAGTGAACAACATCTCATCTTTGTTCATGAATGGAATTTTCGATCCATTCTAGTACAAGTTTGTTGTTGTTTTCATATACAATGTACTTTTCTATTCCAGGACTCATGAGGAGTACTTGAAGACAATCTTGGGAATTTTGAAGTAGTTATATGCAAAAAATTCCAAGTGCAAGTTCTAGTTGACTAAAATACAACCCTTAGGACATGTCATTTTAACCCAGAGAATTTTAGTGGATCTTGGTAAGGTGGAGGTAGTACTTCAATTAAAATATCCTAAGATTATACTTAAGATCAAGAGTTTTGTATGGTTAACGAGTTATTATAAGAGGTTCATTAAGGGTTTCTCTAGATTTTTGGCAACCTTGATATAGTTGACTCACAAGGATTAACATTTTGCTTGAATAGATAGAAGTGAGCAAAGTTTCCTAGATATGAAACAAAATTGATCATTTTCTAAATCTTGGTCATTTCAAACATAGGGAAAGATTTTCAAGTTTATGGCAACACATTACACTATGGGTTTGATGGTGTTTTAATGCAAGAGAAGTATAAGGTAGGTTATGCTTTCAAACGACTAAAAACACATGAGAAGAATTGACCCACTTGTAACTTAGAATTAATATTTGTGGTGCTTACTTTGAAGACCCATAGACACTATGCTCAGTTTCTGATATCTAATGATCATAAAAGTCTCAAAACTTGTTTGACCATAAGGAGTAAAATATGACATGGAGGAGGTGGATGAGTTTCTTATGGGATTATGAATTGCAAAAGATGTATCATCCTAAAAAAAGAATATGATAGAAAATAACTTGAGTGGGAAGACAATGCAAATGTTAACCTTGATGGTGAAAGTGATAAAGTTGATTCAGTAGTTTATAAATTTGAATATGGGGGTTAAATTGTTTTATAACCACATAAGTTGTAGCAAACTAGCTATAACTAATGATTTTTTTGAGAGGATCAAAGGAAAGGCAATTGATGGGTCCCAGACTGTGCAATTATTAGGGATTGAGTAAGGTTTTTGAGAGTTAAAGGTAGAGTATGTATCCCTACGAATGAGGAGCCGAAAAAAATGATATTGGATATGGGTCACAAGAGGAGACTTAGTCTACATCTAGGCATGAATAAGATGTACCAAAAGAAGACATTTTGGTGATCCAACAAGAGGAGAGAGGTCACACAATGTGTCTTTACATGTTTAGCTTGTTAAAAGGTCAACATAGAGCATTAGAGACTTAGATAGATGTTATAATAACTGAATGTGTCAGAGTGGAAATATAACAACATTACCATGAAATTTTTTTATTTTTACCCATATACCTCAATTAATGTGAGCACATGATGCAATTTGGATAATTTTAGACTAGTTAACAAAGAGTGTTCATTTCTTGGTTGTGAATATAAACATTTTCATGATTAAACTTATACAGTATAGTATTAGATAGAGACCCCTAGGTTAACCTGTCAATTGTGACAAATTCTATAGAATATTTTGGGGACTAGACTGAGACTCAGCTTTGCCTACTATCCTCATATATATAGTCAGTTTGAAAGGACGATCAAATCTTTAGAGGATTTGTTGAGGGCATGAGAATTAGATCATCTAAAGAGTTGAGATTAAAAGCTTATATTAGTAAAGTTTACCTACAATACCAATTATTATGCTAGTATTGGAATGACACCTTAAAAGACCTTGTATGGGCAGAAGTGTAGGATTTCTTTGTGTTGTATTACACTGGAGATGTTATCTTGATAGGACTTGAGATGCTCTAGTAAACTATTGAGAAGGTCAAAAAAATTTAGAAGTGGGTACAACCTCTTAGGACAGACAAAAGTCTTATATTGATTAAAGGAGGTGACCTTTAGAATTTGTAGCTGAGGACCCTATGTTAAGATAACAATTAGATCCAAAAAGATATTTTCTAAGTTCATTAGTTCAAATAAGATTCCAAGGAGGATTGGTCCAATGACTTATGAGATTGTTTTACAACCTTAGTTAGTTTATATGTACAATGTATTCCATGTGTCTTAATTAAGAAAGTACGTACATTACCTAAGTCATGTGTTGGAAATGGTTGAGGTGCAGGTCAGGAAAAATTTGTTCGTTGAAGCTAGGCCAATTAGGATTGAGGATCAACAACTTAGGCAAACTTGGAGACAATCCATTAGCACAATGAAGGTTTTGTGGGATGAGAAACTATGCGTTTGCACTTGGGAGCTATATGAAAGCATGAGAGAATATTATCTCTTTGATAAGTGGATTTTTTAGGACAAAATTTTGTTAGTTTGGAGAATGTGAGGACCCAATTTAAAGGAGTTAAAAGTAGAAGTGGTTTAATGAATGATAAATTTGAAGTTTTACCAATTAAGTTAAAAGGAGTTATAAATAAATAATCTTAATAATTCAAATTCTATTATCACAAAATCACCATATCTCTTTACAACTCTTTTTCTCTGCATCATCTCTAAATTTCTTATTCTCTCTCTCATCTTTTCTTAAATTCAAACATGTCTTAATTTTCTTAGAGTAAACACGATCATTTTTACCTGATCAAAATTTTAAATAGAATAAGTTTTTATTTTCCTATTTTATAGCATTTATATGTAAATTTGCGGAGCTTGCATGTGGAACCCAGGGTACATACATGTGGGTTTTGTTGGACAAAGATAAATTTTGATTAGCTTAAAAATATTATGCTATACTTAATTTGTTAATTAAAATTTTCTATGAGTAGGATTTGACTTCATATGAGATTGAGTGTTTTTGTAATCAAAGGTTGGAAAATTGATGAAAGAAAAACTAGTAGCAAATTTCTTAACACCCTAGGATAAATGATTTGAACTATGATAGTGACTTTGTCACATTCTCAAATTTGCAGGGAATTGATTGAGAATTAATATTATTGGTATTTGTATGTGATTCAATGAGTTGAATTGGATTTATTATGTAGAAAAGATGTGTATGAAATGTTAGGATAGGATAACAATATTTAGACTAGATATAATATGTTCTATAAGAAAATGATATAATGTAGTCTCAAAGGATAGTGATTAATACCTAAAAACTAGTTTAAGGTGTATTTGTGTAATTTGTTATCAGCATATTCTGCTCAAGCAAAATGTGTAGCAAAGAAAAGAGCTCATCTCGAGTGTATTTTCACTTAAGCGAAAATATCTCTCTTAAGCAAAAACTTGTAGTGAAATGAGGTTTATCTCGGATATATTTTTGCTCAAGTGAACTTTCTCATAAGTTTTCTATCCGAACTTCTAAAAATTATAAAACTAACTCTGAAGTTCAAATTTAATGTTCCATATAACCAAATTGAAGCCTCGAAAATGAGAAATTCAATAAAACAATAATTAGTCACAAAGGATATCTACAAAAAATGTTATGATCAAAAGAATAGTTAAAGGTCAAATCATAAAAATGTTTTTTGTTTGTAAATATGATAAATGATATGCATATAACTTAGAATGTTAGAACATATGATTTGAGTATGAAATGAGGTATGTTGAGTGTTATTGTATGCATAACAAAATATTTTAGTGTAATGTGATAACTACCATGAGATATCCACATATGTTATTGGTGATGAATTATAAGATGATGTGGTGATGTTTTGTATGTTCTTGATACTAAGATATATTTGTTGAGGTTTAGTTGAGCTAGGAGACTGACTCATAATCGATTAAGATATATATGTTTATGTGAGGCTAACTCGAGTTCGAAATGTGATCCATAATCGACTAAATTGTGTGTGGATACCTATGAAGGTACTATTTGTGAAGTGTGTAGGGATATTGATTTGAGATTCTGAAAGAGATTATCCTTATTCTACTGATCATTAGAATTACATAGAATAATGGATTAAGTGGTGAAAGTTGAAGGAGGTCTTTATAATTTAGTTTGTGGTGTGAAAAAAGAACTGTATCTGATAAGTCATAGGGATTTACTTTGTCACATAAGGAAATGTGTTCCAATTATGTATTTATATTGGAGATATTTACTTAGAGAAGGTAATGTGAGATTCAGTCTTCCGAAAATTATTTAGAGTTTGAGTGATGTGAATTGATATGATGGGATAAATCTGAAATGAATTTTGTAGTGGTAATATATGTGGAAATGCATGAAATTCTAGTTTTAGAACAAATTTAAATTTAATATTTATTTCAAAATACTAACTTATCTTGTGTATTTTGTATATTATTTTCTTTGACTTTGATAATCGTGTGTTTTATACGAGAACAAATGATGCAGGTGTTAAACTTTAAGAGGAGTTAGACGGGAAATAATAAGATCTTAGATGTTTTTGTTAATTCTATATTTTATAAGAGCAACTCCAACGGGAGTTGCTTATGGCCCCAGTTGCTTATAAGCAACGATGCTTATAAGAAACTGTCATTGGAGCAATTCGATGTAGCAGTAACAATTTTGAAAAGTTAAGCATCACATTTTATAGAAGCAACGTTCTTAAGAGTTGTTTTTTCCAATTTTTGTCAGTTTGTTCCCGCGATTCTTACCAACATAGTTCAACAAATCAGAGAATGCAACAAAGAGAGGAATGCTCACATGAAGGTGACTCGCTGGTGCCTCACGGAGGTAGGCTCTACCTTGAAGTTGGAGCTCCGCTCCCTCCATCTGAGCTTCCACAGGAAGCAAAAAGCCGAAAATGAGCATCATCCAGCAATCCGACCAGGTGGTGCAACTCTTCGCAAGTCCAGCTTCTGCGACGTAAGCGGTCCAACTCTTAGGTCATCTCACGGGTTAGGGAGAGGGCTGGATCTCGCAGGTTGGGGTGTGGCGAGGGTGGGTCTCGCAGGTTAGGGTGTGGCGATGGGGAGGGTAGGGGGGTTGGTCTCGCAAGTTTGGGGTGGTGGTGGGGTGGTGGGTCGGAGAATGAAAGTGGGGAAGGGTTGGGGTGGGAGTTGAATGATACGTGAATGGTGAATTGCTTATAAGAACCCATCATTGAAATGAATCTATAAAAATTTGAAGAGAATTGCTTAAATATGATATGACATTATGGGTCTCACTTAAGAACTCAACGTGGATTCTTATAAGAACTCACTATTAAAGATGCTATAATAGTTTAAATATACATAAAAAATCATAATAAAAAAATAACCTATATTCTTTATGAAAATTATATAAATATTTATAATATATATTTTAAAATATTATATATGACCTATAATAACTTTTGAAATAATTACTTAATTTTCATCGTGACGAAATTGAAATTCTTAATAATTAAAACATATGCATGTAAATATCATAAAATTAATAATTTCTATTAAAATTTTGATGAAATTATTATTAATATATAAAGATCAAATAAAATATCTTAATTATATTAAATATAAATTTGATATAACTATTATATGAAAATTATATTTGTCCTATAATTTTAGTAAATTACATATAAATGAGTTAAAAGTTAAAAAACAAAAAAACTAATATACCTAGTTGTACATGATAGAGCATTGACATGTTGGAAAACCATTATTGCACAACAATATGGCATAAAAAGCCAAGTGACAGCTTTATTGATGGGAAGAAGACAAATTTAGATTAGATCTTAACAAACAAACACAGTTAAACAGAGAATATGAATATGGTATGCCCATTGTTGCGAGAGAGACTTGACTAAACTAATTGAAAGCCGAGCAAAGGTGTGACTCGTGCAAAAAAAAAAAAAATGTGGTGAGTGTGTTAAGTGTTGCTTGTCACACCTATTTACTTGCCTCGCCATGAATCTCATTTGAAACAATCCAATCTTCGACCTTCTCAGACCAAAATGATTGACATGAATTTGTCACAGTAAAATTGTCGTCAGTAGCTTTTCCAACTCACTGAATCATCCACCTCCCTACCACATGGGACAAATTGTATAAATTAGTATGATGTGTGCCATTATTTAGAACACATAAACAATAACACCCAAATAATAAATTGCATATATCTTCAAGAAATCTTTAGATTGCCCTTCTCACGAAAGCTCTCGTTTATGCATGTTCTTCCACTGATTGATTGAACGTTGAATTAACATAAAAAAAAAACGAAAATTAGAATTACCTTCCATAAAATTATATTAAATGACAGATACAACATTTATACTTTAAAAATAAACTATTATGTTTTTTAATAAATAATATTCATATCTTTATTTTTTTTTAATTATTATATTTTAAATTTTAATTTTAGGTTTTCATAATTTTTTATTTAAATTTTAAGTAATATGAATTTTAAAATAAAATAAGAAGTAAATGTCATTTCATTAAAAAATATAAAAGAATAAATATTTATCTAAAAACTAGAGTACATTATTTTATCAAATACATTAAGAAAATAAATATTCATTTTAAAATTACCGAGAACGGAGTATAATTTAGAATAGACAAGTGCAGTTTTTCAAATTGAATTTTGAATGGAACAATGATTCATGAAAGAGCAATAAAATAAAGTGGGTATATTGTCCTTCTTTAAATTTATAGAAAATTTAATAATAAACTGTCATGCATATTAGGCCTTTTAGACCTTAGCATATATGCTAGGGTTGACTTAAATTGACAAACACATGATTTTTCAAAACTTGAATTTTATCGTTTAATAAAGTTGAATTCGTATGAAAAAAATACACCCATACTTTGATGCTGATTAAACATTTATTATACTAATTGTTGGATTATTTGTTATAGGATAAAATTTTAAACGTTGATAAAGATCTAACCTTGATCGCGCACGTGAATTTGATCAAAATCCTCAGTAATTCTGTAAAAATAAATAACTGAATAAATAAAATTGCGCCCTGAAAATTCTTAAGATACTTTTCATCAATAATTTGTTATATTTTTCATGTTTCAAATTTCATCCTCTCAAATGAATTGTAATTCACTCGAAATAATGCATTGCTGTAGTCGCATGATAAAAACACGGTATGCAAGAGCATAAGGTTATGGAAACAATAAAACTTAATTAAAACGAAACATTGTCAAAATTGAAACTACAAAATGATTAATATTTATTTTTTAAAATGATTAAATATTTAATCAAATTTATTAATTGCTTTACCTTCCTTAAAGACACCACTCAGCAACAAAGACTTCAAATTTTGCCAGATTCCAATATTACAATATATATGTATATTTGCTTCCAACTTTTGCTTAAGGAGATATTTACATAACCTGCATTGTGGAGCTACCAGAATTAGAAAGTAGACAGGTACTACGCTAAAGCCAATCTTCCGATCTGTGTGAGCATTGCTACTGCTTGAAGATATGACTGTATTTCTGCAGCTCACTGTATCAGCTTGATCAGCTCTGCAAATAATAAACCATTTCCATGCAGAACATTGCCTTGGCTTATGACATTCTAACTGCCATGCCAATTTCAGGTCCCAAGAAAAATGCTATTGTGGTTTCCCCTGAAGCGCTTGAACTATCTCCTCTGCTCTAGTTTCAATGCCTTTCAGGTACTCTGTCAGAACCCGCTGTCGGTAAGAGCCTCCCTCCTTTGTTTTTGAGCAGCACGCAGTGAGGAGAAAGAACATGGATAAATCAAAGGAACAACATAAGTTACGTAGAGGACTTGCAAAGGAACAATAACCACATGAATAAAAACATTGCTTTGTCTCACAGTTCGAATCAAAACGCGTTCTCTTCGTTTTTTTAAGACAGCGAAGAGCTCCTCGGCTGAAATATCCCCAGCACCAATTGTCAATCCATTGATCAAGATATTGTTCCATTCTTGTTCAGGTGCTGCAAGGAATAAACCATGATTGATATTTGAAACAAGCCATGTATCAATAGTTGAAGATAAAAGGTGGGACAGTATTAATCTAGAATAGATAAACAGAAATAAAGATAAACCACCAACCAGTAATATTATAAATTGAAATTTTACTAATTTGGTTTGCCATGACTCTTGATCAGATTCATAAGTTCTATTATTTTAAGATAATATTATTCATCTAATAAGAAATTATATTAATGACTTTACATTTTCCCTTATTTACACTCTTATTCAACTTTTTTACTATTCAACCAAGCCAAATGAACAATCCATAAAAAGATTTCAGGAAAAATGAAATCAAGCATCACACAATACATTAAATTAAATGAAAGAGGAGGAAAACAAAAATAAGAAAAATTAAACCTAAACTTGAAAATTAGGAAGCAACTCTTTCTCAAGAACCAGGGACATAATTCTGATATTAATTTTAACAATTGAGTTTTTTCTACAACATAAAAGATCAGGATAACTAAGACACCTTGGATTATGGTTTCAAGGAACTGCTCGTCCTTTAACACTTCCTTCCCTGCAAGAAGAACACAACCTTCCAAATTAGACATCAAAGTCCAATAATTTGGCCAACACATAAAGATATGTGGACAAGGTAGAAGTCAAGAACACGATGATAAGATTTCTTTTGAAATTGATATTTTGCATTAGCAACATTGTAGTGTATCAAATAGCAGCAGCTCAGTCGCTACCAAAAAAAAAAGGTCTCACTAGGTGGGAGCCATCCCAATGCACCAGTAAACTTGATCCTCGTTCCTAAATGAATCAATTCAACCAAACACTTGTCAACAATTTGAATAAAAGCCTAATCCCACTGAGTGAGATTGGTTATATGAATCACACAATGTGATGCGGCTCTGTTAGAGATCAAATCTTTAAAGATATTATTTACCACGAAATGTCCCTGAACAAATTCCTCCAAAGTCCTTTTGATCTTCCTCCCCCCCACCCCTCCTCACAGAACTAAAAACCATGCAATATAATCGCCGCACAGTTGTCTCTAGTGGCCTTTCTTGTCCAACCTACCCACTTTTTTGTTAGGTATCAGACTACTTGCACAAGAACTCAACTAAAATAGAGAAGAGAAAAATTGAATAGCAATAATAGACAAAAGTGGAAATTTTATAATAGAAAGAAAAATTACATACCCCTTCTCTAGTCCTAAGAATGACAACACTTTCTAATACTTAGAGAAGGAAAGAAATTTTGGGATATTGAAATAAGGAGGGAGGGGCTCCTTTTATAAGAGGGAGGAGAGCCCCCCAATTGAAGTTCCCACCGATGTGGGACTTCTTTCTTCACAATCTCCCACTTGAAGATTTTGATGAAATTAATCAAATCTTCACACTATGTCTTCTTCTCCCACATCCATGTTGCTTATGCTTTTGATAGGCCATAGAGGGATCGACTCCGTATAAACTTGTCGACGATTAACCGGCTTTGTCATTACATCTCGCTAGGTTCTTCTCGGTGTGGATCTTACGTAAATCTACACTTCCCTCTTCTACTACTTCTCGAACAAAATGATATCTTATTCCTATGTGTTTTGTCCTCGAATGAAAGGTCTGGATTCCTTGCAATGTGTAAGACACTTTGACTATCACGATGACACAACAATTTGTTGTTGCTTGCGACCAAGTTCCCCCATTATTCTTTTAATCCGGATAGCTTCTTTACATGTTTGGGTGACGACCATGTATTCAGCTTCCAGTAGTAGACGTAGCTACCACATCTTGTAACTTGGATAACCAACTTACTCGCCCCTCCATTGATGGTAAACACATAACCGAGTAGTAGACTTCCTTTTATCCAGATCACCTGCAAAATCCGAATCAACATAGCCTCTAACAACCGCTTCGATCCTCCATAACATAATGCAACATTTGAGGTTCCTTTTATATACCTAAGGATCCTCTTCACATTTTGCCAATGCTCTCCACCAGGATTCCCCATGAATCTACTAACCACTCCCACTTGCTTGTGCAATGTCCAGGTCTTGTACAAATCATGACATACATAAGACTTCCCACCGCCGATGCATACGGTACTCGAGACATTTCAATCCTCTCCGCTTCACTCGCTAGGACTCATACTTGAGGATAACTTACGAGTTGACAGGAAGTGGGGTAGAAATTGGCTTGCAATCTTGCATGTTGAAGCGCCGCAAGATCTTAAGTAAATAATTCTTTTGAGAAAGCCAAATCTTCCTATCTTTTCGTCTCGGTGAATTTGCATCCCTAAAATCTTGTTTGCTTGGTCCCAAGTCCTTCATATCAAACTCCCTAGCCAATTGTGCCTTCAATTCTTGGATTCGAGCTTTGTTAGGGCCTACCACCAACATGTCATCCACATACAACAACAATATGATGAAATCATTTTCTTCAAACCTATCGTGGTAAGTACAATGGTCCGAACTTAGTCCGTAGTATCCGAGGCTAATAATGAAGGAATCAAATCTCTTATACCAACACCTTGGCGCTCGCTTTAGACCGTATAGAGATTTGTTCAACTCCGCAAACCAAGTTTTCTTGCTCTTTGAAGCCTTCCGGTTGGAGCATATATATTTCCTCTTCAAGTTCTCCATGAAGAAAAGCAGCTTTTACATCCAATTGCTCAAGATGTAAATCAAATGCAAGCACACATCGCCAGGACAATTCGATTGTTGTCAATCTAACAACCGGTGAGAATATCTCCTTGAAATCAATGCCTTCTTTCGAGCATATCCTTTTACCACCAGCCTAGCACGATATCTTTCCACTTGATCATTGGCATCTCTCTTGATCTTATAGACCCATTTGCAACCAATGGCTCTGCGACCTTTTGGAAGTTCCACAAGATGCCATGTCTTGTTTTTATAAAGAGCTTCAATTTCTTCTTCCATAGCAGACCATCCATAGAGGAGCTTCGAACCACTCACTGCCTCTTGAAAAGTTGAAGGTTCTCCTTCTTCACTTAGGAGACAATACGCATCATGACTTGCCATCACATATTGTGAATGCCAAGATGGTCCGACTCTTTCTCTTGTTGATCGTCGGAGTTCTCCTTCTTCCACCTCATTTGGCTCATGTTCTTCATGCTCCTCCTCCGACTCGGAGGAATGTTCGAAGTCTTCTTCTCTATCTCGTACTATAGTCTTGTCCTTTTCCGAGTCGTCATTTATCCGCTTGCTTTGCGGTTCATTTTCCGCAAAGACGACATCTCTCGCTAACAATAACTTTGTGGGCGAGTGGGATCCCACAAGCGATACCCCTTCACATTGTCGGCATATCCCAAGAAGATGCATTTCCCGGATTTTGGATCCAACTTCGTCCTTTCTTGGGTGTTGTACATCACGTACGCGGACAACCGAACACATGTAAGGAAGAATAATCGGTTGATTTTCCACTCCACATTTCCATAGGAGTTTTCAACCCAATTCGTTGTTGATGGAGACCGATTTATCAAGTAACAGGCAGTATTCACGGCTTCGCCCAAAAAGATTTTGTTATGCTCGCAGTTTGCGGCATAGCTCGGTTCTCTCTAGAAGAGTTCTATTCATCCGCTCTCGCTACACCATTCTCGCGAGGCGTGTGTGGAACAGTAAAATTGTCTCACAATTCCTTCTTGCTTGCGTAATGCTAGAAAATCTCCATCTACATATTCTCCTCCATTGTCCGTCCTCAAACACTTGATTCTCCTTCCGGTCTCAAGTTCTACTTGTGCTTTGAAGTCTTTGAACCGCGCAAATACTTCGGACTTCTTCTTGATAGGGTATACCCATAATCTCCTCGAGTAGTCATCGATGAACGACACAAAATATTTTGCTCCTCCAAGAGATAATTCGGCGATTCCCGGACATCGAATGGATCAAGTCCAAAGTTTGCTTACTCCTTGTGGTGGTTCTTGCAAACTTCAACCTCGTGTTGTTTGCTTGTCACACAATGCTCACGAAGGGTAAATCGACCTTCTTGAGCCCAGGTATGAGATCACGTTCCGCAAGAATCTGCAGACCTCGCTCCGACATATGTCCAAGTCTACGGTGCCACGTTACCGCCGCTTCTTCTTGGCTTGTTGACGCAGCTTGTTGCATGATTTTCTTGCAAGGTGTCTCCCATAAGCACATACAAGTTTGCCATGATTTTCTATGCTTTCATGACAACTATGTTTCCCCTCACCGCCTTTAAGATTCCTCCTTCAACATGGATCTTGCAGTCGAGGTCATCCAATTGCCCTATAGACAATATATTTTTCTTCAAGTCCTTCACATGTCGTACTTCTTGGATTGTACGAATAGTACCGTCATACATTTTTAATTTGACAAGTACCAACTCCAAGCAATCTCTAATGCATGGTCATTTCCCATGAACACGGATCCACCCGAGATAGGCTCGTAGGTTTGAAACCAATCTCGGTGTGGGGTCATGTGCCAAGTTGCACCCGAATCCATTATCCACTTGTCATGAAATTCGTTTCCGCCATTAGAGCCGATTGCTGCTTCGCTACCGAATTACTCCTTCCTCCGAAGTACTCGCAACGCAACCCCGTGAGGTTGATTCTTCATTCTTCCTTTTCCAACACTCTTTCTTCGTGTGCCCTTTCTTGCCACAAGTAGTAACATTTAAATTTGAAAGTCTTCTTGTTTCGAGAGCTCGATCTCGCCATGATCTTGACTCCCACTTGAGCCATGTTTCGTTGATCTTCCTCTCATCATCGTCAAAACTTCGCTTGTTTAGAACTTTCTACCTTATTCATTCGCTCGGATTCTTCTTCTAGAATAGCTCCGCAACATCGTCAAAGTGTAGTTGTCCTTCAATATTATTATTTGTAATGTTGATAATGAGTTGATCATACGAGTCCGGCAAGCTCAAGTAAAAGCTCGCACGCTCATTCTCAATTATGTTGAAATTTGTCGCTGCTAATTGGGCAAACAAGGTGTTCAGCTTGGTTGATGTGGTCCGTCACCGATGTGGACTCACTCATCCGAAGAGTATAGAGTTTCCTCTTCGAGAATATCCTTGTGTGAAGTGACTTCACCTCATATAATTTAATGAGGGCATCCCAAATCTCCTTTGCGTAATCTTTCTCCGCAACACTCGGATAGAACCGAGTCTCGCCATTGCCAAATGTAAATTTGCAATAGCGTTGCTTGTCAATTTCCTTCCACTTCGATCCGTCATTTCGCGGGTCTTCCTTCAATTGCATCAAGACAATTGTCCTTTCTTAAAATTGCCTTCATCTTCAATTTCCATAACGAGAAATTGTTCCCGTTAAACTTCTCTATCTCATACTTTGTCGCCATGGTTGTGTTTCCACTTATGCAACTCTCACTTATGAATAGTATTGTCTACTCGGAACAATAATAGTAAACCGTGAACCAAGTACACCAAGTAGGTTCCCGTGAAAGAGAGGTGGGTCACTAATGGACACGCTTAAGTACCAAGTCTTTCCTAGCCGAACTTTCCTCAATAGTACTTTCACACTACCACACATTTTCCAAGTAAAACTCCTTTCCGATGTGGAAGATCGATTAAACCGCAACCACGAAGCATACTCGAATTTTACCAACACTATTCTAGTGACTAGCGCAACGGACTCGAACGCAGTCTCCGATACCACCGTTAGGTATCGACTACTTGCACAAGAACTCAACTAAAATAGAGAAGAGAAAAATTGAATAGCAATAATAGACAAAAGTGGAAATTTTATAATAGAAAGAAAAATTACATACCCCTTCTCTAGTCCTAAGAATGACAACACTTTCTAATACTTAGAGAAGGAAAGAAATTTTGGGATATTGAAATAAGGAGGGAGGGGCTCCTTTTATAAGAGGGAGGAGAGCCCCCCAATTGAAGTTCCCACCGATGTGGGACTTCTTTCTTCACATTTTTCTCATATTTTCCTCAATCAGGGTGACACAATACCACCTCATACACGATAATTTTGCATATTCTTCTTTCCTGTTTAGCTGCAAATCTATCTTAACATTCTTATTTATGCTACTCACATTTTTCCCTTGTCCCTTCAAAACCCAACATTCACTACCATAGAGTATAACCAGATGCATAACAATACTATAAGTTTGTCTTCAATTTTGATAAATTCTTGATCGCAAATAACTCAGGATACTTTATTCCATTTTAGTCATCCCTCTTATATCCTAAATGTGACATTCTTAATTTTCCCATCATTTTGCAATGTTGGTCCAAGATATTTAAACTTGGAAACTTGTGGTATGACATCTCCGCTCGTGTTCCTCGTCTTTTATTGAAATTGTACTATACTCTTTGACAACATGAAGAAACCAGATCCCCTCTTCTATCCCCTATAGGACCTCAAAATTATCAGTCAATACACTTATTTTTATCCCATGCCTTTCTTCATTCAGGGGAGAGAGTTTTCAGAATGGCCATTCAGATCTAGATCTAAAAGGAAAAAAAATTGTAGCACATAAAATGATCATATACATTGTAATAGAAAAAAAAAAATAGAAGTAAACTTTCAACCACGACCATATAAAAAGAAAAAAAAAACATTTAATTATAGTTCAAGTTATTTTCCCACATTTTCTAATTCTCTATATCCTGTTCAATAAAATAAATATACACATAAATTTAGAGAAGAAAAAAAAATTTAAATAAAAACAGCAAAGCTAACTCTGTCACTGACCGGTGTCATTATTTAACAAGCAAATACTCATCTATTTGGACAGAAATATTCTGTATAGAGTACATCAACTACTAATATACCTTTAATGGCATAACTACGTTTTGAGAGAACTTTGGAAGCATAGAGCTGCAAGACCTTTCGCAACATAGCCTCCAGTCCAGGCTTATCACCATCTTCCTTTGCCTGCTCATTATGGGCAACATAAACAAACAAGTAATCCGCTATATGTAATAATTGCAATGAAAAAAGGGGGGAAAAGAGTGAATCACATAAAAATACACATAGATCAAACATAGCAGTTCTATGCAAATATCTCACACTATATCCCACCAGAACAGGGAGCTATATAAAAATTTGAGATATACACCAAAAGAAAGAACACAAAGACAGAAATTGTTGTGAAATACAAGTAGTTTAATGTCCAAAATTAGTAAGCCTTAAAAACTATACAAATTGTTGATATCTCACACTTAGAGTCTTTTTATTCCATTTGGTGAGGGTCACTTGATATGTTTCTTGACATATAAGTAACTACAGCAAATTTTAAGAAAAAGTACAATATAGAGAGTGAGGATTGGATTACGTTTGTTGTTGCAAGAGTATAAGTGTCTATTAGTATTGACAAGTGAAATATTCTGTAATAAGTTAAATAAAAAGCAGTAAAAGCAAAAAAAACAGACTCACTTGTCGTAGCTGTGCATTAACTTCAGCAAGGAACCCTTCATCCAGTTGTCCTTCTTGTTCCCTTTGACTTATTTCCTAAAGATGGGGAATTAAAACTTACATAGATAGCAGACTTGCGGGAAATATTTACAAATGACCAAAATAATCCACTAGCAAAATAGAAAAGATTACCAAAAAGAAGGCACTTTATTAGAAATTATAAGAGAAGAAAGACAGAAACAATAACAAATATCCACGATTCTGCATACACTTGTTTACTTTTGACTTCTTAAATGACTGTATGGTGAAGTTAAGCTTACATTACGGAGGTCTAGAAGTATACGTGAAGTCTTTTCAGATAAATTTATTACAACCATTTCTACAAGAAAATAATAAAAATGGTTTCTTCATAAGCTGAAATTAACTTGTGCATAAGTTAATTTGTAGAAGTTCTCCAATATGAAAATATGATTTTAATTTATCCATGAGTTACTTTTGATTTATCAAGAAGTTTATTTCATTCTTTTCTTCTTATTTTCTCCTTCAAGTGATTATGGAGAAGTTTATCCAAGCATGCTCATAGATCATTATTAACACATCACCAAGTTAATTATTGCCATTCATCATTTGGTCTCTCAAGTCTAATCAAATTCATTTTTCATAAAACCTGAAAGCGTATGAAAGACTCAAGACAATGCATATATCAAATGTTAAGTTTTAGCATGAAGGTAGGCAGTCAGGAATCCTTGCAACAAATAAAATGCAAATAGTAAGAAAATTAAGCTTAATGTTAACACATGACACAAATAGTGTATTGTTGCTTACTTTACTATATATGGGACTGAAGGGCTCGGGGCATAGTATAAAATTTATAAAAGTCCTTCCAATTAGATAGGCCAGTTTTGCCAAAATCAACAAGAAACAGTACACACCTTTTCCATCAACGTTACGGCCTGGGGATCTCTGGGAGGCCATGGAATCTCTCCTTCCTCATCTATAACAGGTTTTAGTACTCCTTTCAAGACATCCGTGGAAGACTCTATCTTCTCCTGCAAAGCAAACGGATGAAAACAAAATTATTGTCAGAGAAGAAGTTACAAAGATAACCCAACAACTGTTTAACAATGTTCAGGGAAGAGAGAGGGTTACATTAGTCTTATGCACCACACAATCCACCACACTCATGACCGATGCAGCCAATTCTTCATAATCTTTCTGAATAACAATAAAAAAAAACACTATAAATAATGTAATGAAAGAAAAAACTATACGAAAACTGACCAAATAAATATTTCGGAAAATTAGAAGTGTACTTTATCATCCTCGGACTTGCAAGTATCAGTCCTCGCCGCTAGACGAACCCAAAAGCTTGGATTGAAAGCAAGAATGTTTTCAACAACAAGTTTCTGAAGCTATTTACAAAAAAAAAATGAAAACACTACCGATGCCATTAAAAAACGTTATCCGAAACCAATCAATCAAGATAGTAAATATGAGTTCGAATCACAATTCAGCTATAAAAGTTGGTTAGAATAAATCTTACTTCGCGAGGATTAGCATCTCTGAGCATATCTATGAGCCTATCAATTTCAACAGTCTTCTTAAAAGCATCCTCAGCTTCTTGATTGGCTGCACATATGAAAGTCGTCCTGTTTTTAGATCCAAAAACGCCATTTCACTATTCTGACCGTTAATCACATGATAGAGTACAACACTAGAAGTGAAAATAAACCTTCACATCACATGATATACTAGATAATTGGACAATAACCACTAATCAGTGACAACGACAGAATTGTTACTACTACCTCTTCTTCCTGCAACTCGAAGTCCAAGGAAACGGCGTGAGCCTCAAGCTCAACGCGTGCTTCCGAAGTTTCCAATCTTGCAAAACTGCACCCTACATACAACACGATTTACCATGAACATCACGGAGGTTAAAACTAAATAATGTAAATACATAAAACAGAAATTTGAAAAGAGTACCTTAGGGTTAGGAAAAGGAGAATGTATAGAAGCAAAAGCGGAGACACAAAATGTGTCTATTCTCATTCTCAGAACGATAGCTAGCTACTTCAATGGCGGGAGAGAGAGACACCTCTCTAGTGACAGCTTCAAGTTTTACGCATCCAAATAACAACCATATACTTCATTACCTGTCCAAAATTTTCTTTTTAATGTGTTATTGTCCTTACAAAAACAATTCGCAGGCCCAAAAAGTACTTTCTTGGTCGGGGAAGTAACAGCTTTCAGAAGCCCAACTTAGTTGGTTTGGTGCAGGCCCAAACAAATAAATAACACTGTGCTTTAAATCCCAATTTAAGAACCAAAATAAATGAGATGGATTGGGTTGAATTAATTTTATAAAATAATTTCACATTATGTATATTTAATGCATTGAAATTTATTTCTATTATTATTATTATTATTTAATAAAATTGATAAATTGTGTTTTGTAAATTTTAATGGAAACATGGTCTGAGTAGGTGGCAATACTGAGCAATGAAGACAAATATTGATGGCAATAGGCTGAACACATTTATAAGGCCCAGCAAGATGTGTACAGTACATTCAGATGTTCCATAAAATCTTGTACCCGTCGTGAGATGTGAGACTCGACGATCGAATTCTATAAATTAATTTGTTTATCCAAATTATCTATAACAATATACAGAGAGATTTATTTTTTCTGTTTTAATATCATAAAATATTTATTCTATAATTATTTTCTCTTTTATTTTTTCAATTATATGTTTTCTTCATTTCTTTCGTAAAATAAATAAATAAATTAAATTAAAAATTATTATATTTTTTAAAATGATAAAAATACCATAAAAATTTAATATGGAACTTTTGGCACTGTTCTATTTGGGAGTTTTTACTTCTCTTTCCCACTTAGGTGGAGCACCAAACACGGCGAAAGTTCTGCCTTTGTCCTTTCATGCTTCTGCTAAACCTAACACCATTGCTTCTTCTTCCTCATCTTCCTCACTTTTTCAATCCTACAGAATCCTCCATTTGAGTCTCTTCCAACCTTCATTTATTGTCACCACACAAATTTCTCATTCTTCAATTCCCACAAAATGATATTTAAAAGGTTTTATTGCGAGATTAAACCCACATATTTTTGACAATTATTTGCAAGATTACATAATCACTGTTGGTGAATGAAAACACATCCATGTGAGGAATGAAAAAGAGAAAGAGTAATATTCCTTTCATATCTTGTACCTACCTTTTCCTCCCCCGAAAACTGCAAATCTAATATAATATCGTGTTTGAAAGATTCTGAAGCAAGATGGTGACACGTATGCATCTTGCATTTCGAAAAAAGTGTTTTCTGTCATTTAGTTTGACCCTCTTATTTAATCACATTTCCCCACTTTGGTTCTTCAATGTTCCACTTTTGCTTCATTGCGTGTGTTCACCTGGTCCATTATTAAGAGTAAAAATCTTCAACAACCACGCTTACTTCATTTTCAAGAGAGAAAAAAAAAAAAGTAAGTAATAAAAACCGAAAGGGACCACGGTTAAAGCTTTCATTTTTTTTTTCATATTTTTAGTGAATTTATTTATAGTTGGATAGTATAATAATGAAAAATCTTACATAAATTACAAATATAAATAAATATAAGCATATTTTTTATTAAAAAAATTGATAATCTATTTTTATAAATATCTTATTGACAATTTTAAAATATTTTTTTTATTAATTAGTAGAGAAAATAAAATAAAATAAAAATAATAATTTAAAACTTTAAAAATGAATTATTGAATGAATATTTTTATTTTTTTGTAATGTGGAGACATCAATCCTCTTTTTATCAAATTATATATTTTACTATTTATAATATATTTATACGGAGAGTAAAACAACTCGATATCTATTACATAAAAAAATTACTCCAACTTAACTTCTTCTTTTTTCCTTTAGTAAATTATTTTTACTGATGATGATTAGATTCATGATGAACTAGTAGTTTAATTTATTTAAATATATGTTATGTCTTATTTTTTTAATTATTAAAAGAATTTTATTAAATATACTGATTCATTAAAATATTATTTCAATTATATATTTATATATGAATAAAAAATTAGAATACAAAATATTAAAAACAAGTCAATTCACTTAATTTGAACAATGTTTAATTTTCTGCTTAAGCCATTTGAAAATTGTGAACGATTTTTAACTTAATCCAACTATAATTCATGATGCATCGGATTAACTCAAAGTTGACCATATTAACATTTGTATTAATACATAACCAGTGAGATCAATAGTTAGTCTCAAAAATAAAATAATTCGCAAAAAAAATTAAACTATATTTAGTTTATCATTATTTGGTTTAAAGTTTAATAAGTTATGTAATTTAAATGATAATACAAATGAAGAAAAAATAAAATGTGATCGTAAACTTTTGAAGGGTTCATTTAATTTCAGAATATTGTATATGAAATTAAGAAGAAAAAAACTAAGATATTAAATGTTATAGGGTTGATGTAAGTTTAATAATTAATAATTTTCTTTTCATGTCTCGTAGTCCATGAAAACAAACTTTAGTTTTTTGACGTGTTAAACCAAAGTTTCTTTTGTGCACGTAAGAGAGGTGCAGTTTCAAAGAGGGGATAAACAAGCAAAGTCCAAAATTTCAATTGTATAAAAACAATTAAATAACATTATATATTATATTATATCTGTTTTTGGCAGTGTTAGTTGGGAATGACAAGTATTTTGAATGAAAAGGTTGAGTTTGAAAGTGGACTGATATTTTGATAAAAGCACTTTTTTACATTGAAAAATGTCCTTTGTGTGAGGCATGGTGCATCACAATAATTGATGGTTTGGAATGTGACAATATGGGCAAGATAAACGGGAGTTTACATTAGAACATAACTTTTCAATGCATTTTTTGAGAGACATCTTGATTCAAAACAGATAATTCAATCTCAGCAGCTTCTGAACTTGTTTTAGAAAGACACTCTGTTTTCAGACATTATTCTTTTGTTTTTTAAGAAAATTTGGGTCATCATAAAAATTATTGAAAATATGTTTAACCATATATCATTTATAACTTTATATATAAATGAATTATAATTTATAATTTTTTTATAAAAAGTAAAGTGTTATAATTTAAAAAAATATTATAATTTATATATATTTTGTTTAGAAATAAAATATTTTCCGTAATAGAATTAAAAAATAAAAGAAAACAAGATTTTATTTTTATAGTAGGTATTAATGTTGTATCGAATAATAAAAATATCTTTATAACAGACGTCAATGATAATATATAATAAAAATATTTTGGACAATAAAAAAAATAAGACTTTATTTATTGAACGAGTGTAAATATTATGTTTATAACACAAAAATATTATAGATAAAAGATAACTTTATTTTATTTTTAGTCTCACTATATTAATTTTAAAAAAATATATTATATATTTATATTTATTAAAATAATATTATTACAATCAATTATTAAGTCTAAAATATTATTTATTTTAAATTTGAATAAATTAAATTTATTTTTAAAATGTGAGCAAAATTTTATAAAATATAATTAAATTTTAAAATTAAGTATTTCAACTCATAAATGAATCGAATTAATATATTTAAATAATATAAAATAATATATTTAAATAATATTAAAAATATAAGAGATAAAAATATGATAAAAACAAAAAAAAATTAAACATTTTTTTAAAAAATAGAGAAAATAATATTTAAAAATTTAAATTATACAAAAAATTTAAACAAGTTTGTTATCATAAACTAAATACAAGTTGGGCTGTAAGTAGAGACAATAAAACTTCTGCTTCCAAAAGCCGACACTGCTTCAGTATCCCCACTCCTATATGTCTCTCTCTAGCTGGCAAAGGCACAGGGAGAACAAAATTGTGAATATGCGTTTTTACTATTTATATCATTTTTTATTTTTTATAATATTTATTTTAAAAATTATTTCAATCATTTCTGTTTATAATTCATCGTACAAGATTGACCGTGTAACTGTCATGCATTTAAACGAAGACATGATTAAAACAAAAATATTAACTTTTTTGAATTCAATTTCACATATTAGATTGCACTATAAGGATACTTTTGTGTAAATATTATTAAGAAATTTTGAAATTATTTTAAAATTTAATTTATTTATTTTTAAGTTTGAGATGAAAACTGAATTTTACTCTACCTTAATATTCTCCTGCAGATGGATCTCTATCAAGACTAAAATAAAAAATTTTAGAATATTTTGAACCAATAAATGAGGCAGGTGAAGGCATGTCATGCAGCCTCTAAATAAAGTTTTTGCTATAAATGAATTAATTAAGCCAACTTGGTCACTTCCACAATACTCAAAGAAAGAGAAAACAAACACAACGTGGTGTGAGAAAAAAAGATAGTCTTTGATCCATCTATGTCTATCTCCTAAGGCATTATTCATCCAGAGTTTTCTTTCAGATGGTTACTTAATAACCCTACCTGTTCTCTCTGGACCATGATGATGCTGAAATGCCCATGATTTTTTTGTCCCTATTTTCTTGGCCTCAAAACTCAAAACAAAACCAATCTCTTCGATCCAACAACAACAGCACATCACATTACACAACATAGCAGAAAGCCAGAGATGAAGATCCAGTGTGATGTGTGTCACAAAGAAGTGGCTTCCTTGTTCTGCCCCTCTGATGAAGCAGCTCTCTGCCATGCTTGTGATCGCACCATCCACCATGCCAACAAGCTCGCGGACAAACACAGACGCTTCTCTCTCCACCACCCTACCTCCAAAGACACCCCTCTCTGTGATATCTGTCATGTACTATTTACTCACTCTTTCTCTCTTTCCCTTATCTTTTTCAAGCACTAAACTAGTCCCGTTTCGTTCAATAATCAAATCTGAAACTAATTTATAAGCATATTTGTTCCCTTCATCTGATGAAACACATGGAAGCCAAGTGAGACATTACTTAAGGGTTTAAATTATTTGGCAGGAGAAACAAGCGTATGTATTCTGCAGAGAGGACAGAGCAATACTTTGTAGAGAGTGTGACGCTTCCATTCATGGAGTCAACGAACATACCAAGAATCACGATAGGTTTCTTCTCACGGGAATAAAGTTTGGTCCTACCATTCTTGAAAGAACAACAACCTCTAGTTTTAAAACAAACGCCGCACCTTGTTCAATCTCAAATGAAAACATTGATTCTTCTCGCTCGGTTGGATTGGCTTGTGATTCGGCTTCGGTTTCAGCAAGCAGCATTTCTGAGTACTTGATTGAGACCATTCCTGGTTACTGCATGGAAGACCTTTTAGATGCTTCATTTCCATCAAATGCTTTCTCTAAGGTATGGTATTATTAGTATTACTATTTTTAATTTAATGTCCATTTAAGAGACTTAGATAAGGTTTTTTTATTTAAAAAATTTGATGGGTTGTTTCAGGAATATGAACACCAATCAGCGTTTCAGAATCAAGATTTTAAAGTCAGCACAACTTCGAATCTTTATTCTCAGATTGATTCTTCAGTTGGAGTTATGGAAATGCCAAAAGCCAAAGCTTGTGAAGGATACTCAAATTGGGTTGATATTTCTGACTATGCAGCCTACAAAGTTCCCTCAATTAGTCCTCCTTTGGTCAAAAAATGTAAACGCTCTCGTTAATCAATTATCTGTGGAATTTTGTTGCAAAATTAATACACCCATTTTTTGTTTTCTGCAAATTTTTGTTTTTGTGCATAAGATTGGAGGCTAAAAAGTTCCACGGAAACCACCAAAAACCCCACTTTCAGGATATCCTAGTGGAATGGATTTTGCTTTCTGCATTATTTTCAAAAGTTTTCTCTTTTTCTTTGTTTGGAACGGATAATCCATCAAATACACTACTCTTGTTTTTTAATATGGCTCAGTCAACAATTTTAAAGCATATTTTTATTTGAAAAACATCTCCAATAAAAATTATATAGAAGAGTTCTTATATAAGTAATTCTAATATAATTTTATAAATAAAATTTACATAAAATTAGTTATTTATTTATAAAACTCTTAAAAATTAATATATATATATATATATATATATATATATATATAGTTTTATTTGTTTATTTATAATAATTGAGAGTAAATGGTGATGAGCAAGTAAGCAACCGACAGTTGTATATAGTTGAAAAAGGTGTACATAATTGTAATGGAGAAACTTTATATAGACAAGGACAACTGGAGTAATAAATAAAATGATAATTTTTAAATGCATTTACCTAAGCAACCGTTTTAAAAAATAAAAAATTGTCCATTATAATAATTTCATTATTATAATAAATTATTTATGGAGAAATTTTTTTTTTTCAAATGATTATCCATATGTAATCATCTTGATAATAACATCAATACACGTATCACTATAACTCTCTCCCATGTTTATATTGGTAAACAGTTTTAGTAATTTAACAAAAAATTTAAATTGTCTTTTAAAACGTCATACATTTTACTAAAAGATGTTTGTGTCAAAATAATATATTTATTAAAAAATCATATTATTTTAATAAAATTGTTTAAAGAAAATATATTTATTCTTATTTTTAATATATGTGATATAACTTTGCTTAATTATAATTATGAGAGGGATGAACATTTATAAAAAGTGTTGCTAATATTAAAGGCATTTAAATTATAAAACATATCAACATTTATTAGTTAATTTATTGCTATCTTTAAATAACAAAAAAAATAAAGATGATAATCAGATTAGCAAAAATAGTTAATTTAATCATAATAATAACTTTATCCTAAAGTTATATTTTTCTTTTCAGAGTAAATATTGTCATGAATACCTCTCATCCTCTGTCTTCTAAATGTTGGTCAATAAAATGTTTCACAAGTTTTAATTAGGGTATTCTAATCTAAAACTATTTAGTGTTAAAAATACATTATGGACTAATGAATTTAGAAAAAAAAAAACATCACTTTTAATTTGGGTTTAATAAATAAAACAAAGAAATGCAGTTTAATATAGTATCATCACTGCCAGTAAAAATTATATTTTTACTTTGTTTAAATATATACCAACTTGTTTTTAACTTATTGACTTACTGTTTAAATACTCATTACTCTAGTATTAATCATTGTCTTTTAGGAATGTCCATTGGTTAAGTTAGATTTGGTTAAACTCATTATAAATTTAATCATAATTATACACACATTATGTTGGATTGGGTTTATGGAATTTTTTTTCTAGATCCAATTTAGGCACACAAACAGGTAGAACAACAACATACTAATATGCTAACAAACTAAGAATTTGGGGTGCTAAGATAAATTAGATTCATTTCCCACAAATACTAACAGAGTTTTTGACGTGATTATTTAATTCTAAAATTTGAATTTAATTCATCAACACCAACAATCCAGTAAATTAAAATATAAAATACGCACATCTCCTAGTGCATCACCAAATCAAGTCAAAAGCATAAATGTTAGACTTTCTCATTTTAAGTTAGGCTTTTTATATATAAACCATCTGGTCTGAATTGTAAACAGTAACACAAAGTAAAATGTACTTACACCCTTAGAAATAAAGAAGATAAAAATGCTCATACACCAAACGAACCTGAACATTTACATAAACAATTTTGATTTTAAATGACGGAAGAATGAACAAAAATATTTTTTATTATTATCACGAATAATTCAACATTTTTTTCATTTTAAAATATAAAATTGTTATTAATAAATTAATTACATGTCTGATCAACATATAACAACTTAGATTCACAAGGCAACGGATATTAAAATTAAAACTCTAGCATATTGAATTGATTTTATTCAACCATTAAAAAAAAAAAACTTAACCTGAAACCGATTGATTTAAAACAAATTCACGAATGTCAATATTCCTATTATTTGTGTGTGTATAATGATAACTAAATGTCATGAGAATCACAAATCGTGAGGAAACAATGTATACTATGTTACGGTGAACTTCATGCTTCGATGGAAGTTATGTCAGATTTCTATGATTTCAAATTACTCGTGTGGAATATGCCCACCGCACCCACGTTAAAGTTTGATCCAAACTGGTGAGGTAGACGATAGCACTTCGATTCAAATCATCTCGCTTTTCTTGAAATATCAGAAACATGTGATTGTCTTTTGTTTAAAAAAATAAATATTTTACATGTGTTTATAACTTGTAAATCATACCCAAACAAAACTTATAATTTATGAAATTTTGTTTAGAAATTTTAAATAGTTTTAACTATAGTTTTATTTTTTTTTAAATGTCATTTGAGTCACTTTATTTAAAATATTTAGATAAAAACAAGCTAGAAAAACTATTTTACACGAAAAAATTTAAAAATGTTATCAAGTATAAAAACAAAATTTGGTAAAAAAAATATTTTAAAAGCGTATCAATTACCCAGGGAAATAAAGCAAGGTTTAAACGAATCATCATATTTTCTCCCTTTTTACACAAACAACATTGTTTAATTCGTATGAAACATTTTTAAGATGCATTTTCTAAAGGATTTTTCTTGAGCTAATATTTTGCTAAAATTGGTATCGAAATAATATTTTTTTTAATACCAAGTTGTTGGGAAACTTAAAAAACTTTTAAAAAAGAAACAAAACTTAATAAGGGTAATAAAATTGATATAAAAAAGCACTAACAGTATCGAAAAGAAGAAAATCAGCATTTTATTCTTTTTTTGGTCCTGCCAATCTATAATCTACTTTGATCAATCACTAATAATTTTCATTCCAAAACAACTTCCAGTAACTCTTATAGTCTTTTCTCTCTTTTTTTCTTAAAGTGTATAACTTTGGTAGTTGGTAAATCTGTTTGTAGGTTCAAAAGTACTTAACGTACTATTAAAAAAAGATAGCAATTAGTCACTAATAAGAGTAAAATCAAAGCTCTGTATCACAAGATTTTTGTTAAAACACCAAAATATCTGATAGAGAAAAAGGAGGAAATCATGTTCTTATACTCTGGAAAAGACACATAGATCCAAAAATCTGCTGTATTACATTAAAACAGACTCACTATGTGCACATGTACTTCAGCAGTTTTCTTTACACCCTTTCCATTTCCTTTTTACATTCCTTTTTCCCACCCCTTGGCCTCTCCCTATTATACAATTTCCAGGGTAGAGTAAAAGGGATATCAACGTACCTTTCAAACAGTTGTAGATACAAAAATACTAATGAAAGAATTGCACCTGTGACCGCGCGGATATATTAGTTCAATGAGATAAGACCCTGGAAATTTTTAACATCCAAAAATGAAAACATGTTATAGCTTTGTACTTGTACAGCATTTGAATTTGGCTCGTATATAAAAAAAATTGCAAGACCTTTATTAACGAGTCAAGAAGTAAAAGCAAAAAGCCTATCTGCAATATATGTGCGGCATATTGGACATTCAGAACAAGCAAGTGAACAAGATTTACACACTGCAAAGGCAAACAAGAGGTTGTAGTTCAGACTGAAAAAAAAAAAAAGTCGTAAAACCCAAAAGGAAATTACCAAAAATGGAGGCAAAAAAGTACTCAGGCAATGTAGGAAAAGGCTTACAACAAAAATGCCGGCATGGAAGAAGAATTGCTGCAGTTGACGACTCAAAACATACTTTACAAACATGGGAATTGGTATCTCCATTGCCAAGATGCTTGAATTCTTTCTCCCTCATCTCTTGCATGCGTGCCTAAAATTAGACGTTACAGATCAAAATGTGTTCCTGTGGAGCTTTTTGTTACATCAAAAATAACAAAACTGTACATTAAAATTGAAGTAATTCGTTGTATTGTGAGATCTCGTCACCAAAAAATTCAAGATAATTATCATGCAAAGTAAAGCAAAAGTTGCACCGTCCAAACAATTCCACAGACTGCACATTACTATAGAATTTAGACACCCTCGTTGGTACGGAACATTTGTAACAGAAAATTTTGACCTCCTCCTTGAGAACATCGAAAAAGATTATTCCAAATAAAAAAAGTAAATCACTCACTGGTTGAGAACTTGAATTCAACGCAACACATAGAGATAGCATCCTGAAGCACATCATTATTTGTGCTAATTGGTTTAAATAAGATGTTTTTTGAAATTGATACCTCAAAAGAAATCAGTATTTTTTATGATCAACATTGAATAAAGGATTTTTTTTTTTTCAATTTTGTCTCATTTTATTAAAAGTGAAACCCTTTCCCTAAATTCCCTTTGAGTTGTCCAACCAAAGTAATCATGGTACTTATATAAGCATGCTTGTTGACAGGATATTAATGTGAAGTTGATATGGTGTATCCCAACGTGCCAAACACATTGATATATGATGTGATATATATTTGTCAATATCACATCAACAGTACATCAGTCCTACTTCAACAGACATGACCACATCACATGATACTTTCTATTAAACACTTAACAAAATTCACGAATAAAATCAACTTAATTCACGAATAAACTTGATATCGAAAATAATAGTGGAACGAAATTAAAAAAAGTTAAAAAAATAAAAAAAAAAACTAATAAGTTTTTAATAAATCTGATAATGTAATTATAATATTAACTTTAATACTCCTGAATTAAAAGTGATAACTATCTAGTCATATAATGCAGCATGTCATACTATCAAAATTAACATAAGTAATAAAATAACTATAAGGCAAAATTTATATATTTATTGTTAAATATAAAAATTCTGAAAATTTTGGAGATACCAATCTTATTTATTATCAATTTTGGATGCAGCAAGAAAAATTTAACCCTTATTTTTCAAACAAAAGATGTGGAGGGAGATTTGGACTTCCAAATGTGTTTATCAAAGAAGAATAGGTATATGTGAACTAACACAATTTAATACTCATGATCTATATAAAAATAGTTTGTTGAAAATATTCCATCTTAAAAGAAACATACAAATAAACATAATATGGTATGGGTGTTACCTTAAGACGCACAACCAAAGGTTCTTCATTGGTTATTTCATTTTCTGGTATTGATACATCTAAAATCTGGTCCTTGGGAAGAAGACTACTTTCAATGTCATTAACTTTCATATATTCTGTATGTGCCTCCGCATCACATTTTTTTATATCCATGTTTGATTCTGGCATGGCACCCCCATCTTTCTTTAATTTAGCCACAAGAACCCACATATTTGCTAAATCATTCTCCAACGAGGCCTCTCTTCTTTTGGCCTCTTCAACCTTTTTCCTATATTCGTCTTCCAAAAATTCCTTTTCAGATAATGCAGCCTCAAGAGCTGCCTCTCGCTGTCTCCTAGCCTGCAGTTCCATCTTCAGATCATTAGCGTCAAGACTCCATGACTCGAACTCATCCATACCAACTCCGAAACTTTCATTAGCACGGCTAGAAATTCTTCCCTTCCTCCCAGATCTTGCATCATTGTACTTGCGGCTAACGCCATTAACTGTTTGTCCAACAGCATTTCTAGTGCTGGCCTGGTCTCGTGCAGCCATCAATTCCTTCTCCAACTTTGCATTCTGCAATGAAAGTTTGGTAACTTCCCCAGCTAAGTTCTTCAACTCCACAGCAGCAGCAGAGGCCAGTTCTTTGGCATAAGATGCTTCTTCAGATAGCTTCTGATTCTGCACATGCAACCCACTATTCTCTTCTGATAATTGAACTTGTTCGAGCTTCAGTTTTTCGTTTTCAATCTCCTAAATAGTGAAAAAAATGTCAGGCAATTTAATCAAACCAAAACTGTAAATTGGACCCAAAAAAAAACTATTGCTGACACTAGTATATGCAAACATGTATTTCGTACAGAATCCTTAAAATTGATTTTAAATATTCGTTCATTTTATCAATTGTAACTAACAGACTCAAAGCATTGGAAGTATTCAGACAAGGGAAGAAATAACCAAGTAAAGAAACATACGAAAACCAAATAAAAGAGGATTTAGAAAAAGCACATAATTCTTTTAACCGTGCAACTACAAAAGAATAAATTATTAGTTACCTGTGACTGTATTTTCCTTTTCAGCTCATCAATGTGTTCTCCAGATGGACACTGGTCAGCAAGCATTAACGAGGTACTAGTAACCATTGCCAGTTGCTGCTCAAGCAGCTTTACCTTTTCCAGCAATTCTCTATTTTCAGAACACTGCCAACAAAATTTTCAAAAGAACGGGTGTCAACATTCTCATAGTAATAAGCGGTTCTGTTACATTGTCAACTTTAAGGTCGAAGAAAACAACCAAAAAGATAAACACTTACCTTATTATCTAACTGTTCTTGAAGGACGCGGTTGTCTGCAGATTTTATCTATAAAGATATATTAAAAAATAGAAGTTATTATACGCGAATAATCATTGACTAGATGATTCATAAACTCATTCCATAAAGAGATTGTAAAATGCAATGACAAAAGACTAGTTGGAAAAAATCAGTGGGTACCACGTACTGGAAATAAATTGATGACTCATGGTGAATAAACGCCCTAATATAGATATAGATAAAAATAGATATACCTCCAGCTCAAATGCCTTTTCATCACACACTGTCATCAATCTTGTGATTGTCTGTTATGAAAAAACCGCAAAGAAAATCAAAATTAAAAAATTATCTATATTGAATACCAAACAATCCCAATAGCAAAATAGCCACCTGCTGCATTTCAACCAGAGATGTATTAGCTACGGAAGATTCACCACTCTCAATTATTCTTTGCTCTAAAATGCTCATTTGCTTCCTCTTTTCTTGGATATCTTGTTCCAAGTTCTCAATCTGTAACAAGAAATCCACATTTTGCATGTAACGGGTTTCTACCAAATATTTAAATCTGCAATATATGTCATATCAATTAGAGTTGGGTACACCGCTTTTTGTAACATGCAGCATCGATGCCACGTAAAAAAATGTGCATAGATCTGTTTGTAGAAACATTTGCAGATAGTTTTGGCAAAATTATACATGCTTTTTTAATTGCTTCAAGGAAATATTTTTGTCATAATTTTCGATATTACATACAATAAATGAAATAAGCGTACTGAGAAACTTCAATGAAGAAAAATTGAAAAGTACAAATATTTCGAAAAAAAAGGTAGTAAATAAGAAGAATTCGATTAGGAAGGAATGGCAGAGCGATTCCAGCTTTGATTTCTGCAATGAAAGTTTGGTAGCTTCCCAGGCTAAATTCTCGCCGCCATGAGAAACGTAGAGTACGAGGTACACATGATTGCAATACGTCGCAAATTTTGGCACATCCGCGCGGGGTGCTGAATTTATTGTTTTGTGGAAAAATGTTATAAATAATTGTAGTAACGGTTTGCAGTTATAACCATTGATAACTTCTCATAATGTATAAATTAGTCTGAGAATAATGGGAATAACACGATTGATTTGTTCTCTATCTTCTGGTATACTCTTCTTCTACATTCGGAACGTTCACTGTTCCCTGTTGGTGGTGGTTCTTCGACAACCGTCCTATAACTATTTTTCTTCTTATCAAAAAATTAGCAAGTACTTAATTAGTCCTGCTCCGCATCCTACCAATATGTTCGAAAACTTCAGTGTAAAACCAAGGCAGAATACCTGTATTTTGGAGCTTTCAGGATCGTTTACAGACTGCTCCATTAAGCGTTTCAGAGTGCTGGTACTGAAAGCAATATCTCCAGCAAGCATTTTGACTTGCTCGACAAGAAGATCCATCTCATCAGACGTTGTCATCCCTCCCTACAATTTAATATGCAGTCAAAAAGGAGATTTAATAAGGTATATGGAAAACTAACACTTTTGAAGAATGACAATACAAGGAGATAAAATAGTAAGCAAGAAGCCAATACTTTTTTTTTTTTAAAAACATCACAGCAATGGATATTGTATCAGTAATTACATATAAACAATAAAATAAATAAATCGTTCATAGGTCACAACGGAACCCCACGATCACGCATCGGCTGAGTTTGAGGCTTTAACTAGCTTTCGAAATTTAGTTAGGCCCTCTAACAATTTTTCTGTGCATTATTTTAGCGAGGACTGTGACACATTCCCACAGATGAGGCATTGAATATGCAGATTATGGAATGAGATAAGCAAACACATATTGTTGAGGGGGAAGGGGAACATGAATCTACCGCTGGTAGTCGTATTGATTCAGTGATGATACTGCTAGTTGGGGAGAGTTCTTCATTCCGTCTACTTGACGATCTTATATGTCTAACATCATGAGACAGATCAGATGACACAGTGGAAACATCTTTTTGACTCTCATTTTCAATCAAAAGAGATCCATCACGAAGGGCATCATAATTCTGGAAGAAAAAGGAATAAGCTAGGATTTACTTATAACATGTTCTATAAAAAGATAGTCACATTTCAATATTCATATGGAAGGAAGATATCTTTCTGATAATAACAAATATTGTCATATACTTAAGAAGTCAATAACCAGCTCAGCCTGAAAGTAAAGCGGTAGAGGCTTAAAAATTATTTATAACGCAAACCCCCTCACGAGAACGAAATTTGTGCTAGAAATATGAACAATGCTTGATTTACCTTGTGCTGAAATTTAATTTAATTACGAAGAAAACAGCAACAAGGATGAAACACTTGACCACTTCATTAAAAACACTTGAAATATTGGGAGTAGGGATTAAAATTGGCCAAAACTGCTTGTGGAGGCCAATGGCCTAGCCTATATCAAGCAGGCTCAAGTAAAGTAAGACTTATTAAATAGGCCAGCTCAACTTTTTCTTAAAAGTTTAATAAATTCAAAAGATCATTTAAGCATCTTGAGTCTTCAATTTAAGAATTAAGTCAAGCTCACACCTTCAAACCCTACTTATATCCACCCCTATATGCAAATAACTAACTCAGCCTTAAATGAGCTACTCGGGGGACTACGAGAGGGCTAGATTTAGAATAAGAAACCCTATATGCACAAAAATATTGCAGGAAAACATGATAAGGAGCTCAAAGCACTTTATATTAAAAAGACGGTGAAACACACTTCACACCAATTGAAGGAAGAACTCACATCATCCTCGCCAACAGAGTGACTCTGATGGTGACTGGTAGCTTCAGTTACATATCCCGGAATTGCATTTTTTGACGAAACCAGAATGAGCTTTGTTAGCTTCTGGATCCGACTCATAAGAGCTACCTTTGCCTCTTCCTCTTCTTCCAATCTTGACTGCATTTTCACTTGACCTTCTTCCAACTACTCATATGTCAGTTGTACAAAATAAGAATCAGATACAAAATCCCAATTAAGAAATGAAAAATGAAATAATTCAGGGGAAGCTAAAAACCTTTTGTTTTAAGCTCATAATCTCCTCGTGGTTGACACCAAGTTGCATTCCCTTCTTAAGCTGATCAAGTTCTAGTTTGAGGACTGAAATTTCTCTCTGATATTTCTTAATAAGAGATTTTTCGTCAATAATCTGTTTTAACAAAACATCCAAAAACCAATCAGGAACCTCAACGACATGATAATAGTCATACATTTTTTTTCTGAATAATAGCCATGCAGTTATGTGGCTAAGTAGCAGATATCCAACGGACACATCAAAAAAATATGAAGCAGACCTTATTACGTGAGGCATATATTTCTACTCGCTTGGCCCTGCTAGCAAACTTCAAGGTATTATGAGTTTCTTCCATATTACTGGACGCTGGAGTTACAGTGCAAATAAGCTGAAATTTCCATGTTAAAGACAACATTAATATGGTGCAATGGTGTCCATGCGGACATTTTGACGTACTTTGTTCAAATACATCCATTACAGTGAATAAAGTCAGAGGAAAGATTAAAAAGGCCATGCCCGACAGAAAGAGTCTATTGCAACAAATTGAGGATCAAATTGTAAATTGTCGTGCTCATTCTGAATCATAAATCAAATTAAATTATAAAATGCAAAAACAAATATATAAAGAAAATCTTGAAATGTGTCATGAAAATGATAAAAATGTATAATGATTAGTATAATAAATTTTAAATTACAAAACTACATAACCATAATTCTCTGAAAAACAAAATAATGTCATAATTGTGCGGAGGCTTTATTTCAAAATATTCACAACAGCAATTGGACAGCCAAATTTAATGTATAATAATATAATGAGTAAGTAATGGAGTGAAACCTATTTCAAAAGAATAAAAATAGGGTGATTCCAATCCATGTATCAAATGATTCTAAACTAAATGCTGTGATTCATTATGTCATGAATTTAAAATCGTAAGATTCTAGTAACTATGATCTGTTGAAATAGAGTGCTCAATGATGTTCCTCTTCCATACGGTATGTTGAATGCACAAAAATGGTTATCATGGAGTTTCTGTTATTCGTATTAGCATCCACTTTAAGAGAATCTTTTTATGAAGCGCTAACTATTTAATAACTATTTGTTCAGTTTATGCTCCTGTCGATGATCTTGACTCGTCGATTGTACAAAATTTTAAGGTACAGCAAAAACAGATAAAGATTTTATTATTAAAAGTGTAGTAGAATCCCAAACTCACTGAAACGTGGCCATGCCCACTAAGTGAAGACTGCAGGAGGCGTGTAAGCTTTGAGTCACGATATGGAACATGAGATGCTTTCCCCTCACTCAATTTTCCAATAACCTATATATCAAAACCATAAAATCAGGGCTTTCAGGAGGCAGGAGTTGTGATCTTTGGCAAAAAGATAAATAGTAAATTATCTAGCTGGTGATCTCAGGTTCCCACAAAAAGTCATAACAAAAATTAATAACAGACAACAAATATAGGAAATGGAAGAAACCTACTGTTCCAAGTGTCAGAAGACTTTTGTTTATGTAAGATCCTTCTTTTCTTCTTAATCCAGTAGTTTCAGTTTTTGAGCTCTCAGATCCCGCAAGATCGATCAAGTTCTAATTGAAAAACGCAAGTACAAAAATAAGAATAGTCATGCAATGTGTTTGTGTGTGTTGTCTGAATTCACAATAACGTTCACATACAAGCTGAGAGAAGACTACTCCATCATAATCTTCACCATGGGCACTGCTTTCAATCATCTACAAATGTATTGGATATAGCAATAACAATGCAAGTTAGATGTGAAACAGAAAATGCCTTAACAAAGTCCGGGAAAAAAAATCCAAACACATAGCTGAGCAAAATTTAAACATTTAACCAGCATGCAGAAAATGCAATTAAACATCTAAGCAGGATGTATGAGCGCAACTTAGTAAAAAATTTAAGGCCTCAAGCTGTAGTGTAGATATATTTCCTTTGACAATTAGACCGGGTGTACCAATCTTGCTTCTACACTAAATTTCGATACTATAGTTCCAAGAATGCTTACAAGTGTAAAAATCGTGTGACTTCGGCTGCTGAAGAGATTAAAATTATTTGATCCAACATGACGATGCTCTGCCAGTAAACAACATCCTCATTAATAAAACAACAATTAACCATGGGATCTATATTACTAAAAATAATTCAGGAAAATGTAACTCGCAATATCAACTTTAACCTTCCCCAGCAGCAATAAAGGAAAGGGCATGTCCAGGAGACAAAACAACTTCTTCCTTTATACCCTCCACATAAGTTCCCTGAAATATAAGGCAATATAAATCATTGGTCATGTCCAGAACTAGTCATAAGAAAACAAGAAATTTGTTTGAAAAGTTCAAAATAAATAAATGTCTAGATTTTCTCCAATAACAGATGCTGTCCTTGAATTATCTTGATGGAGAGTTAACAGAAATGTTAGCACTCTAAATCAAGCTTTTAATATAAAATTCCTATACACATGCCATACCACGTTCCAAAGGCTACAAGAAATATTGGTTTTCCGTATTGAGAGAAAATTGAGAACAACGTAAGAAAGGAATTCATTTTTATTTCAATTGACATAAAAATAAGTAAGAAACCTGTGCATCTTCTCTAACACGCAAGTTTTGGCCAGTTGGGTCAAGCAAGTCATTTATCACCTGACCGAAGCAGAAAAAAGTCTATTAAAAAAAAAATCAGACAGTGTAACATGTAACATGACAATCAGTAACTCAAAATGCAGATCCTGGATAAGTATAATTGAGGTAAGGCAGAAAGTTTTGCATTTAATGATGAACTATGTTTTAAACCATGTTCAGTACAGAGAAGGTGGGAAATGTAAACTCAATTTGTTTCGTTTTTACCTCATTGTATATTTCTATATATGACACTCGGAGTAAGAACTCTCTTCCTGGAGTCTGCATTAAAAGCAATTAGTTATTCGAAACTAGTAATTATAAATAAAAGATAAGTGCTGACTAAGATTTCTTATCAATCAAGACATAAAACTCATGTATCCTGGGGGATAAATGGTGTGCAAGGCATGTAGATAAGTACTTGGACACAAGTACACCACACAAAGCAATAGAGAATTGATAATAGATACAAAAGACGCCGCTTAGGTCAAAGCATGAGATTATTATGAAAAACAATGGCCAGTGCTACACAGGTATGTATTTCTAAATAAACCCACAAATATAAATGACTTGATCAACATTTACTAAGTTTGCATGAAAGCTCACATCTTGAATGATGCTGAAAACATCTTTGATAGCCAGCGGTATGATACCAGGACAATTTTGGTCTCCCTGCAAATATCATTATTAAAATGCAAATCAGAAACACAACTTTAGAGATCACATCAATTTATAAAAGTATGCCATGAAAAGGATTTCTAGGGAAAAATGAATTCGAAGGCAAACTATAAATACGTTATGGTAAATAGTTGTAAGACTAAAAAGTCATCCAAATGTTGGAATCCCAAATCATGCCATTAAATTTCCAAATTTAACGTACAAAGAAGGAATACTGAATTACATTTCATCTACTTAAACCATACAATATGTACCAAGCAAATCAACCTTAAAAATGACTGCTAGCTTCATATGATAATTTATGATCTACTCTCAAATCAAATGTTTTAGTTCCACTATCAAATACAAGACCCTTTACAAAAGTTAATACATTGAACCTTTACATGAAAAATAAATAAATAAATAAATAAAACTCTATTTTCTGATGAATTATACCTTTAAACAAATAAAAAAAATCTTTTCAATATCTTTAGTTGTACTTCTTTTAACTCAATCACCACTACTTATGTCTCTCAAGTATCATGTAAACTTTCAACTTCCGAGATGAATGATCATGAACTTGTTGCACTTGCTTGCAAAATGTCAACTAATAACTAATATAGTGCACAAACTAACTATCTCCAGTCCCACAAAACAACCATCTCAACCGTAAGTAAGTTCATAGAGTTAAAAGTCCCCCACCCCCCCCAATCTTCCTTACCGTTAGCCAAAGAATCATCAAACAAAATAATATAAAAAATAGAGGTTTTTGTATCAGAAAATTAAACAAAACAAATTAGTAATTTATCAAACAGACCTCACGATTAAAAATTGACAAATAAACTACGACACCAAATAACTAATCTGTTTCAAAAAATATATATATATATATAAATTAGTATCAATAACAAGAAAATACACATTTGACTAACTTACCTTCATTAAAATACCAAAAGTATTGTCACTTCCATTCAATCACAAATCAACATGTATGGTAACTTAATTCATTTTTACCATAACTATCTGAAATACCATGTCTACCATAATTTCCAATCGTGTAAGAATTTTCATATTGATAGTATATAGAAATTAATCCCACTAAGTATTTTATTAAATCCTTAAGCTAAAGAGATAAATCTAAACAAAACAAAGTCTAAACAGTGAGATAGTTTAGAATCAAAAAGCGTAAAAAGACAATAACCCGTAATAAATATCTGCACAATTCTCTAATTTAAATAACAGACTTTATGTTACAATATGATGAAGAGATAACACATTGAAATTTGACTTTCATCGTATAAACTCCAAATATCAAAGACAAAAATCAATACATTAATTTTAAAAGTGACACTTACATGCATAGTATGTGTCTTACCACTACTCGTCACACCGTATGCAAACACAGTTCCTGCAATGTTTATCATAAGTTATCTTCCAAACCCAGATAACTCCACCAGTCACTATAACACTAAACCAATAACCAGTACGTATTAACCATTGAAATCTGGCTATTCAACCATACGCATCAGTGGAAACTAAAGCAGCTTCCATCAAAGAAACGGAATGACTGTGCAGTTGCTACTAAATCAGACACTACTAAAAGCATCACATTCCCGTTGTGCTGTATAGTCTTGAATCCAGAGTCCTTACCATTTACACCTTCCATGGCAGACTTCACTACAGGCTTGGCAGCTACTTCATACACCTCGTCGGAATTTGTATGCGGTCCGAACACTCTATCTGCCACAGATCAACGTAAAAAATTCTAACTTCCATGTCCATAATTTTCCACACGAAGAGCAAAAGCCAATTTGCTCTCTATTAGTTCCCTAAAAAATCACGAGAAGAAAAGTTCGAAATGGAAATACCAAATGCATAAGCAGTAGCTGGATTATACTCGTTCCTCACAATCGTATCACCATCCGCATACCACGTGATCTCGTCTCCTCTCTGGTACTCTCTTTCACTGCAGACAAACAACACCATAACCACTCATTCGATCTCAGATAAATCAACGCGGAAAAAATAGAAACAAACCGAACGATTCGGTTTCTCTAAAACTCGCATCTAATGGATCTAATTCCATATCTACAGATCTAAGCATTACCTCAACGGTCTAAACCGAATCGTGACCGAAATGCTATCCCGAGACCTGGAGGGATCCACAGTCTCCATGATCACCTCGTCCTCCATTCCGAACTCCACCGGCGAAGGATTACCATAACCGTAGCATATTGATTCGCTGCGACCGCGGCTCGGAGTCATGGATGGACCGCCGCCGCCACTGGAGTTGAAAAATGACGATGAAGAAGAAGAACAGGAACGAGGCATTACGCGTCCGTTGGTGAAGGAAGAAGTGGATGAGGAAGAGGAGTGAGGAGTGGAGGGTTTGCGATGCGAATATGGCGAGCTGCTCCTTGCACGTGAGGAGGACGAGGCCATGAGTTGACTCACCGAGTTGGTGAGTCAAGAGAAACCAGCAAAATACGAATAGAGGGAACACGAGAAGAAGAATAGAATGTGTCAGAACTCACATGGCGATGAAAAAAAAAAGCTAAGAACATTTAGTTCTCTTTCTTCTTTTTTTCTTTTTTATCTGCTTTGACGCTTTGAGATATGATTATCACAGAGAGTGTGTGTATGTGCGTGTTTCGTCTTCTCTAAGACAAGGTGAGTTGCAGTGGAAGAAGAGAGAGAGTGGGTGAAGAAGATGGTGAACATGGTGAGAGATTGTAGGGCATGCTCTCAGTTTAAATTTCATTTTCTTCATTATAATTTTAATTTTTTTATATGAGAGAAATTGATTTAGAAATTTCCAAGTGCTGACGTGGCGGATGAGGAGGTGGAGATGGGTTTTTAAACTGGTGGAACAGTGGAAGTGCCCGCGCAATAATATCACAGTGGAATGGCTTTAAATAAGCCTGAAATTGAGTGGGAGCACTGGAGCAATAAACATATTTTCATAATGATTAAATAAATGTTAATTTTTATATATTAAAAAATTTAATAAATTTTCATTTTTGTTATTATTAATGTTTTAATTTAATATTTTTATAAAGGTCATCAAATTGAATAAAACTCCAATCAAAAACTTGTAATAAATATTTTGATAAAATATGTTAAACATATCATTTAATCACTCTATTAATGATGGATTCTTACGTGATAAAATTCATTAAATGCGTATTTATGTATGTAAGTGTTATTAATGGTTTACATGTACAGAATTAAACAAATTTAACACTATGGCAACTAAATTTAAAAAATAAGATCCATATTTTATAAAGACTTAAAATATATATTTTTCAAATAAAAAAAATACATTTATTGAACTTATGATAAAAATTGTAGTCATATGTTTGGCAATAGAGAATTTTAATTTTTTATTAAAATAAACCTCTACTATGATAATTTTAAAAATTTGTAATTAACATCATATAATTTAAATATGTGCATAGGTTGTTATAGATTATTTAAATAATTTTTAATTTATTTATAAAAATATAATTAAGACAAATAGCTTTGCATCAAAATAACTATTGAAATATATACAAAGTACAGAGTGAATCACAGATGTAATAATATTCATGATAAAAAAGTATTTTGATGAAATTATTAGTGATAAAATAGTTTACTCAGTTAAAATAATTTCTGTCATATATTTTTTTATTAAGAGCTTATTTTAATCGTTTTCAGAATATGAAAATATTTTTTAATTTTATCAAGAAAATTAAATATGATGAATTAAAAAAAATGTTCTATATAAAAATATTGAAAATATTTTGAGTCTTAAAATTTATTCTAATATTGATGATACTGATTTGTTTTCATAATTAAAAATATTGAAATGAATAATAACAAAAAAAAGTGAACACATACTTGAACTATATATCATTTTTTGAATATATAATTTTTTTCAAATATGTGTATCGCTTTATAAAATATTATTGACATTTATAACTGTAGCAAATGCTAAAAAAATATTTTTTATAAAAATATTAAATTATATATGTAATGCTATAAAATTAAAATAAGAATTTTCAATCTATATGAAAAGGAACCTTGTCTTAATTTTCGATTCCCAAATCACTATTAAAACTATTAAATCATGAATTCAAAAGATATTATACCTCGTTACTTCCTTAAAAAAATAAGAAATTTCGGTGTTCGCGATTTATAATTTTGAAATATATAATATGTTAGACAAATGACATCTAAAGGGGTGAATAGATGTACAAATTAAAATATATGTCAAATTAAAAATTTATTTGAGAGTCAATAATTTGTTTAAATACCGATAAAGTAGAAGAGAAAGAAATAAGGAAAAGAGAAGAGCACATGATCATTTATAATGGTTCGGATATAGTCAACTCTATATCTAGTTCCAGAACAACTCTAATCACAAAAGTGACTCCCAATTCACTATCTTTTAAATTCAGTTTACAAATTACAATCAATTCAGCAGAAGAACCAGTAAAAAGTAAACTAATTAAAAAGACAATCACTTCCTTAGAAACTCACTAAGGATAAACATCTCCTTAAAATCTCACTAGGGATGAACACCTCCTCTAAACAAATCAAAGGATGAAAAACACCTCCTTAGAATCCCACTAAGGATGAACACCTCCATAGAATCACACTAGGGATGAACACCTCCCTGAACAAATCAAAGTGATGAAAACACCTCCTAAACCCACAAAGGATGAAGGAGTAAGATAAGAACAGTCACGCCTGGGTAATGGATACAACAAATTGTAGAAGCATGTAGAATGTCAATCTCCAAGAACAAGTATGATTAATAATGAAAACACAAAAGACAGTAGAGAAAAGGGTTTTCTCAAAAGGTGTAAAATATCTCTGTTGCCTTGCTCAAAATTATTTTCTCAAAACTGATTGAATATAAATTGTATTTTCGAATTCTATAATTGTGTTTTTTTATTTTTCATCAAAACTTAATTAAATAAAAAATAGCATCAGAAAATGGTCGTTAGACATTAATATTTTCGTGAATAAAAATCAGGATATATTCAAAATTATTCTTCAAAACAGATATATTTTTTAAATTTGAATTGTCATAATTTATTATATTACCTGTATAATCAATTATGACAGAGAAAATCATTTTTTTCATTTCGATACATCATAATTGATTATGACAGTGAAAAATATCATGTTATAAATTTTATCATACTTGTGCTTTGGAGGCTTATGCATAATATTACTTCATCAACTTGTACCTCCATATCCAATATTCTAAGACTCTATCTAGTCTTCAGTAAGACTTACTTAAATCATCATCTTTATCAAAAACATATCTTGGGCATGTAGGGAAATATTTCACATTGTTACCAACGTCTTAAATTCAGTTTGTCCTTAATTCATCTTGAATGGTGTTGACTTGAATCATCATCTCTTGGGAATGTAGGGACATTTCCATCAATCTCCGATCATTACTTTCATAATAGATATTTATATAAATAAATACTTTTAAATATAATTCATTATATATATATATATATATATATATATATATATATCGCAAATGTAAAATTGTTTTTTTTTAATCCTATGCATTTTATATTTTAAATTAAAATTTTATATTATTTGTTATCATATAAACATTATATAATCAATATATATATATATATATATATATATATATATTCTATATAAATATATTTTAAACATTATTTTAATTCATGTCACACCGACATCATAATGTATTTTTCATGATATTTGATAAATACTAAAAGACTAAACATTATACTGAATTTTACTGTACCACAATGTCCTTAAGAGTATATGCATTATTATTACGTGAACAAAGTAAATTTTATGACTTAATAGATCAAAATCTCATCATACTATAATCAAAGTTATAAAACATTTCTTGGACTCTTATCACGTATCTTTTGTTGTAGGAATTAATAAAGTTAAGATAACCTTTTATTGAATCCAAAATTTAATATTTATACTATATTACAATAATGTTTTTTTTATATATATTTTTAACATTATAACGTTTTCTTAATACGCGTAATGACATTCAATATATTTTATTCTATCTTCATAACAAATATTTTCATATCATACGTTATTAACATACTAAATAAATGACTTTATATTATCAATTTCCTACATTTTTAAACATTCACAGTAAATTATTTTCCCTTAGTAAAATTTCTCAAAAAAAAAACAATTTTTTCTTTGAATCATTTTTATTTGAATGAGATGTTATTTCACTCGAACACAAAGTGAAATTTCAAAAAAGTAAATTCTCAATCATCAAAACTAAAATGCATATAAGATAATTCTCTTATTTTTAAAAGTCATTTTCATTCTGTTGTTTGAATTTTATCGTTTGAGCAAAAATACTCTCTCAAGAGAAGCAATAAATTGTAATTTGAGGGATAAAATATACATATACAAACTGGTAAAACACATGACAAATCAGTTTCAAAACATTAAACCCAATCTTTTAAATTCTTATTATACCACTTCTTTTTAAATCATGTTAGACACAATCTGAATATAATTATTTTACCTAATATTTCATATACATTTTTCTATAATTCAATCATAATTAATAATATATTATCTACGGTGTAGTGTGTAAGTCCCCTAGGATATAACAGGAACTTTTCGGAATATCCGAGGATCTCAGAAACTGACAAAAAACTTTTAAAGGAGTAAATAAACCCAAGATAATAGTAGAACACGAAGAAAATAGAGAAGAGAAAATGAGAGAGATGTATTTAGAAGAGTGTGAAGTGGTATATATTATAGGTGTAGATTGGACCCAAAACCCTAACTACCTACTCTATAACATTCTCAGTAAAGTTTTCTGTAACGTTCTAACGTTCTAAGTTTTGCAATACCCTTATTTTATGGTAACCCAACCTTTGTGAGTGGAGATTCTACGAATAAGGTTCATATGAGTAAAAACAAGTCACTTGTTAGTTCTACTAGCACTAAAATTGATTAAAATCAATTATGTTCATTCCTATGATGTATATGTGAAACTGCTAGACACTACATCATTGGGAGGTTAAACTTTGTAATTAAAATTCTATGTGGTGTACGAATTTTAGTCTAAACAAAATTTTTAATGATTTCATATCTCTTACGGGTGGTGGTGTATGATTTGCATCATACGCTTGATGAAGTCACCTATATGAGTATCGAGTAGGGCCACTTATATGAGATGTTTGTAATATTTCTAGAGCACTCATGAATACCGGTAGGTAGTTAGGGTGTTGGGTCCAATCTACACCTATAAATAGAGACCAGTTCACACTCTTCCATACACACCTCCCTTATGTTGTAAAAGCTGACAGAGACACGAACAAACTTTATTCCTGAGACATGTATAAACACTGCCCTTAAGGACTTATCCGCGGTGTATTGCGCAAGTCCCCCACGATATAACAGGAACTTCTCGG